AACATTTGTATTAGGAGAGCATAAGTCGCATGGGATCTTTTTCTGGATTCGCGGTTTCGAAATTTTCATAAATTTGAACATTTGTATTAGGAGAGCATAAGTCGCATGGGATCTTTTTCTGGATTCGCGGTTTCCAAATTTTCATAAATTTTAACATTTGTATTAGGAGAGCATAAGTCGCATGGGATCTTTTTCTGGATTCGCGGTTTTCAAATTTTCGTAAATTTGAACATTTGTATTAGGAGAGCATAAGTCGCATGGGGCCTTTTTCTGGATTCGCGGTTTCAGCGCGGGATCGACTTTAATTTAGCTCCTAATGGTACGATGGCGCTATTAATATAGTTTTCCTTCGGTTTCTCAACAAAATTCAGCTCCTTAGCGTAAGAGGGAGCTGTTTACACCAAAATTATAGGAAATTTAAGGATTTTAAATATATTATGTTTAGAACGCATGCGGGAAAGGTGGAAATTGTTAATTTCTAATGAACTTAATTCTTCAAGATGATAAATATGAACTATATTTCTCAACAAATGATCATCTTCTTCTTTTTGTAAAATAAACGCAGAGCTGTTTATATTAAAACAAATTTATTTCATACTTCTATTACACATCATTTACAATTTATTTTAAGATAAAATTTACTCAAGAAAACATTTATTTTTGCAAATTAATAGTATTTAATATAAAAAAAGTACAATGCTTGTTAATAAGTAGTTAGGTACGAATTTTATTAACAAAAGNGATGATAATTACTGTTATAATTTTTTACTCTTTTGAATTGTAAGTTAAAATACTTGAAAATTTAATATTTAAGATGAAACTAACATTAAATTGTTTCAACAGGTTATGATTTTAACACATGAAACGAACAAGGTGAAAAAATAAAAAGGATTGGACACCTGGAGGAGTGGAGCCCCTTGGGACCTGAAAGGTGCAGTTTTTAGAAATACGTGCAGTCCAATTGACAGCGATGCATATAAAGTTACACATGTGATGTCTTCTACTATGTGGCTCATTTCACCATCGGTGGTATTATTTTCCTTTCACAAGCATCTATTGTTAAAGGTACTTCTCTGTTGTCAACCCTTTGGAATAAAACTCGAGCACCATAGAGTATACTTGAGGTAAGCGGTTATTTTTTTGTTTAATTATTTTTCTGGCATCTATGGTTTCTCTTCTATCAATTATCTATTGTTCACAGTATAAATTGACATTGTCCGTCTATGGTTCTTTCTATTGCCTTTGATAATTTGATATTTATCTCTGTCAAATGTAATTAACGCCCATGTCGCCATTTTATAGTGTAGTTATTTACTTGCCTTTTAGTGCATGTTTTTATTGTATTTCATGTTTTACTTAACTTAGTACCTTCTTTAATTAATATTTTTTTTGCCTATTTCTACAGATCGTCCAACAGATGAGAGAAAATTGAAGTTCAGGTTGATCATATTGAAGCAACTAATAATTGGTGTTGTCTTTCTTGGACTGTATTTTGGATTTGCTGTTTTCATCTTCACCTTGCAACATTATGCAGTTAATTTTCAACAGATAAGTGAGAACAAGAGGAGATTCACTTGAATTCCACTAAAAGAGCAAGTTTTCTTCTTTGGCATTTCTACTGGATTTGGTTTGCCTTTCACACCTGCAAACTTTGGATTGTTACAGTCTATTATTAATTAAGGTGAGAATACTTAATATAATTAATTTTAATTGCTCTTTATTAATCTATTACCACCGTATCTGTTTCAGATCGACGTTGGAGAAGACAAAGATGACCCCATAGTTAAAATAGTTCTCTATCTTGCATGCTCTATGTAGTAGAATTCATCAAGTTCGTTTTATTCAAATTAGTTTTTTATTTTGCATGTTTTTTTTTTGTAGTTTATTTTATTTAAATTAGTTTTTATTTTGCATGCTTATTTTTGTTCATTTAATTTAAAGTAATTGTTGAATGTAGATGTTTTTATTTTTTTTTTATGTAGTAGTAGTGTAGTAGTAGAAATAACACGTTTAGTAGTTGTAGTATAGTCTAACCTTGCTTACCTCTTCGCTTAGCTTACTGCATATTCTTCCTATTTTGCTTTGCATTTACCCTACGAGTTCTACATGATTCAACGTTTCGTTATCGTGTGTGTTTCTTCTCACCCTTGTGGAATTAGGGAGGGCCTCCCCGAACGACTTCCCTTGGGCTTAGCTATTTAGTTGATCTTAAAAGTGTCTTATACACTTTTCGCGAGTCTACTCTAGCGTTACTTCCTTTCAGACAGGGTACAGTGGGTTATCTGGAATAGGAGCAATAGGCGACTGCCCAGCTTGCCTTGGCGAAATCTGTCCGATCTTCTCTACCAAACCTATTAGTATTTGCCGTTAGTCCTGTTAATTGCACTTTTGCTTTCAGATAATGAGGTATTCCCTAAGAAGAAGGAAGACATCGTTTTTTTACTTTTTATTGTATTTTCTTGCAAATTTCATTTATTTTCTTGTTTCTCTCTTTCAGGTATTTCGTTTTTTATTGTATAAACTGTTGAATTACCAAAAATATGTAATTGTAGCTTAAACTCATAGGTAAAACTTTTCTAAATTTATTTTTTGGCATAAATGTTAAAACCAAATTAAATACTTGTTATTACGTTCATAATTAATATTGATTTGGGCGGATAGGGTGGCTATAAAGGGAGATGTGGAGGCCACAGAGAGTTAGAGGGCATTTTTGTCCCAAATATAGTATTTCAATGGTAATTCAACAGCTTGTAAATAACTAGTAAATGTAATAATTAGAATGAAGCATTATTTGTTGGATATTTTGTGAATGTTATGTAATATGCTGTTATTTGTAATAAATATGTTCATTGTAATAAATGTAAATTATGTGTCTAAATAATAAATGAATTATCATTGTATTATCATTGTTTTGGTGTTGAAATTAATAAATAGGTAAATAAATTATGTGTTTTTAATTTCATGTATGTTTTCTTGAAAGTCCTTAAACGTAGACAAAAATAAACCCTTAAAGACCTCTAATATCATTAAAAAGCAAAGAAATTATATTCATTTTGGTATTACTAGCGCCATCATACCGCTAGGAGCTAAATTAAAGTCGATCCCGCGCTAAAACCGCGAATCCAGAAAAAGATCTCATACGACTTATGCTCTCCTAATACAAACGTTCAAATTTTTGAAAATTTTCAGGTTCGCGACATGTACGAGGTCCGATTAAAAAATAGTTGAACAACCAAAATTTTAATTTTCAAGTTTTAATGGGTCAAAAGATCTCATGCGACTTATGCTCTCCTAATACAAATCTTCAAATTTATGAAAATTTTTAGTTTCGCGACATATAGGAGGTCCGATTAAAAAATAATTGAACAAAATTTTTAATTTTCAATTGGTCAATTATTTTTTGATCGGACCTCGTATATGTCGCGAAACAGAAAATTTTCATAAATTTAAACATTTGTATTAGGAGAGCATAAGTCGCATGAGATCTTTTTCTGGATTCGCGGTTTCCA